TCTTCTTCTTCTTCTTCTTCTTCTTCTTCTTCTTCTTCTTCTTCTTTTTCTTCTTCTTCTTCTTCTTCTTCATCATCATCATCATCATCATCTTCTTCTTCTTCTTCTTCTTCTTCTTCTTTTTCTTCTTCTTCTTCTTCTTCTTCTTCTTCTTCTTCTTCTTCTTCTTCTTCTTCTTCTTCTTCTTCTTCTTCTTCTTCTTCTTCTTCTTCTTCTTCTTCTTCCCGCACACCTGAACATCTTGGAATGAAAACCTGTGATTGATAATTATATATTATAGTCTAGTCAACAAGTGCATAATAATAATAATAATAATTATTATTATTATTATTATTGTTATTGTTAGTATTATTATTATTATTATTATTATATACTGAATGACAAGTGAAAGCTATAGAAGAAACTTATCTTAGTAGCATTATAATAACTGTTTTTGATATATTTTTTTTTTAAAGCTGCAATTATCGACTTTAATTGGCAAACAGAGAACGAATGATATATATACATCGTTTGGTACCAACAGAGTTGAAAGGAGAAATTATAAACATGTTTAGGGGCCACTCAGTCGCTTAGAGTGGATTATCGGGGGTAGGGGTCCCATCAGTGTGCTTGGGCTCCCAGGTTAGGACACACCTGTCCTCCACCGACTTCTGTGTCTGGTAAAAACTGCACCACCCGCCACCCAGTAAGTCGTAGAACAACCTCCTACCCTAGGTTAGAATACAAAGATTACGAAATTATGCACATTTCTGCTCCGACTTTGCCAACCCCAAAGTAATCGGTGTTTATTTATTTAAAACACTGAATGCACGCCTGCGCTTTGTTGTCGCCTTCTGGCATTTCCATTTCCGGTAGCAAATTACTTGTCCTTTTATATAATTCATTACATTGTGAGGAGGAGCTTTGCGAGTAGGAAATGTGTGGGCGCGGATATTTTGGAGGAGGGCGTGTGTGGGCGGAGGCGAGTTGGGGCTGATACTTTCAAACTGGAGGAAGAATAGGTGAAGCATGCTGGCGACCGTGCCAATTTAATGAAGATTGAATCAACAAGACCGGAAAATGGAAAATGTCAGCTTTACAAGAATACTATGGCAGACAACAGAATATAAAAACAATTATTAACTTTTCAAACTCAGAGAGAGAGAGAGAGAGAGAGAGAGAGAGAGAGAGAGAGAGACAGACAGACAGACAGACAGAGAGAGAGAGAGAGAGAGAGAGAGAGAGAGAGAAGCTTCAGAGACACATAATAGATAGAGGGTTACTGAAGGACATTTGAAAGAAATAAAGATTGGTAAAATATTTTAGATAAAATGCAATAGCGCTTTATTTTTTATTTAAGGAGAAAGGTTGAAACTAGGCGAGTAATGGGTAAACACTGATACAAATGACAGAAAAAAGGGGGGGGGGGGGGATCGCGCGAAAATAAATAGTGCCCAACAGTGGTCTGATGATGCACAACCATGACAGGGTGCTGAAAATCAGTTGCAGCCAACTTTCGTGGCAAAGACGGCACCTCATCGGATTAGATAAATCACAGCCAGGGCGTCGACACAAAGAAAACATTAGCGAGGAGGCGGTGGGGGTGAAGCTCATACCCTTTCGCGTTTTTTAGGGAGCTCTGTGAAAGTAATCCTTGTTTAACTTACTTTGTCCGCTAGGGACGTAAAGGTGTTTGTCAGAGAGATCGCCAGACTTCTCTGTCATCAGTTTTCTTTTTGGCTTTGTTCCCATAAAGCAGCGGTTCTCAACCTGTGGGTCACGACCCTTGTTTAGGTTGAACGACCCTTTCACATGGGTCGCCAAAGACCATCGCAAAACCAATATTCCCTATAAACCTTTTCTCTTAGATTTTATGGATCTCAACCCCATCCCCCACCTCCAAATTCCGAAGAAACAATGACCCCACCACCTCGAAAATTTGCAAAAAGGTTAAGTGATCCCTTAACAAATGTTTAGAAGTTCTCTTGTTAAGTATTTCCTTATACCTTTTTTGGAATTTCGTAAATATTGTGGTATTTATTTTTACCATTCAGACCACACACACACAAAAGTAAATAATAAAAATACCAACAGTAAAAAAAAAATGCTCTCTCAAACAAGATTAACTCCGCTAAGGCCGATCCCAAGGACGGCTGACAAAAGGAGGAGTCAGTAAACTTTTCAGATTGGTAAACATCCGGTGACACAAAGTGCCACCATGCCAATGCGGATCACCCCTAGAGAGGTCCCTGATACCGCATTCAACCGTTAGGTTAAATTGCCAGGGTGGGGCTTCAACATAACGAAAAATTGGGTCACAAAAGGAGGACGGTCTGATTGAACCTGAGTGTTTCGCACCTCCCTGAAAATGGTGGGTTGAGAATCAGCTGTACACATACGTCTTCAGTGTCACTGACTCACCCAGTATGTTGAGAAAGGTTGAGACATACATGCTCCGTGCAGAGTGGCAAGCATGGCTTCAGAGGTCCCGGGTAAGCGTCCTTTAGATATGTTCTCAAGGTCACGCTAAGTGTTAGTAAACGAGCTGGCAGATAGACTGGCCGGTTCTGCATCTTTTGGTGGTGAACTGATGTATGACAAGCTAGATGCTGTCAGGGCCCTTCGGCAATGAGTGAACAGTGCAGAGGCACAAATAGATCATTACCGCCTGAGGAGAATGGCGCTATGGGGAGTTACCAGGGGATCTGACTGACGTTCAACACTCAAGCGAAATTCAGGACGGATGTACAATCAGACAGTTACTGATACTATCGGAATTATAACCTAGGGCTGTTCAACTAAGTTTACCAAAGGGCCACAATTTTGAATATGGAAGTGGTTCAGGGCCACAGACCTAAGTGCCGCCATGGAGACATCTTTAACGCAACACATCTGGCAATGATCAGCGGGCCGCTTGCTAGGCCTGCGCGGACCAGGTTTGGCCCGCAGGCCGAAAATTAAATAGCCCTGCCATAGAGGGTGTCATTAGAGACTCAACCATTCTCCATTCCCCATGTATGACCCAATCACCTGAGCCTTCGTAGACTGAGCATTGAGAAACCCGTTGTAGTACCCGCTCTTTCCAAAACACACATACATTGACACCATGCATTTAGGCCGACTTCAATATGGTTTCAAGCCTGTTTTATTTAGACAAGTCGTCCTAACACAGCTGCTGTTTGAAATGACCAAATTATAGAAGACAGCGAAGGCCACGCTGAGACCCAAGCGGCTGTTTGTGGTCAGAGAATGACGATGTCACGTGGAAGGCATTGTTTAACCTGGCAACGTTTAAAGGTGTGATTCCGTGCAAGAAACACGTGCAGTTTGTTCATTTTTCGACTGGGACCTGTACAAAGGCGCTGAAACCTGGGGGACGAGGCCTTTGGAGCACCCCCCCCCCCCGCCCCTCAAGTTTAGTTGAGAGGGGCAGGGCACCCACTCTCCCCCAACCCCCTTTCTTATTAACCTGCTTCTCGGACATTTACAACAACGCTGAGTGGACCCAATAGCTATGTATAGACTGTCTCTATTTAAGTATGTGTTTGTACATTTGATAATGTTGCATTTATTGTCCATATCCGTCGTGTGCCGTTAGACGTCAAAAAAAGGCTCGCATTTGATTCCACCACTCCGCTCTGTTTTCTGCAGCTCTCTCGATTTCTGACACTGAGTTCAGCCCAAGCATTTGTAACTTCTTGTAATAATGTTCTTTTTAATGTTCTCCTTGGACGTCCTCTTATTCTCAGACCACTTTTTTCCCATTTTAGTACTTGTTTTATAATTCTTTGGTCATTTCCTATAAGAGTTTGCCCAATATATCTCCACCTTCTTTGTTTTTAAGGTATTTGTCCAGGTATTTCACTAATATCAATAATTTAAATTCTTTAAATTTTATATTTATGATTTTTCTCAAACATTAATTTTCCATACCGCACTTAATTATTGTTACTATTTTTGTGCACTCAAACAAGTTTTAATTCCCTTGAACTCCTCTCTTACTAAAAAAATATATTTAAGGGGCTGAACCTTATACTTTGTTTGTGTCGGCACCTCTGAACGTGTGAATTCGTGTGGAGATGGTTTCGTTTGAAAACCCTGGCGAGTTTATTGTTCCATGATGCAATAGTGTTCCGATTGTTTGTGCTGGATTTTTCTTGTTTCCTGTTTACGTATGGTGCAGTTTAACGGTTTAAATGTGAACAAAGAACACACAAACAATAGACTGCACAATTCATTACCTGACGTATTTTGCTGTATCTCGTCAGATGCAGATAAGTGAATCCTTTATAACTGAAGTACAAATTCAACAACGATCAAATATAACTGCATGTTTCACCAGGGCAGCCTCAATGTAAGAACCATATCTTTTATGATACAGAGAAATATTCCAGACAATAAAGTGTGCAATATTTTTTGTTTGTGTATTCTTTGTTCAAATTAACAACGGGAAAACATTTCTTTGAGTATAGATTTACTTAGAATTGATTCTCTCTCTCTCTCTCTCTCTCTCTCTCTCTATATATATATATATATATATATATATATATATATATATATATATATATATATATATATATATATATATATATATATATATATATATATATATTTCGTCCTTCGTGTTGAAAGCACCACAATATGGTGCGCATTTTTTTAAACCCTTCCCTGGCTGTTGTCAGGGGAGGGGAACTTAACCAACCCAGCGTATGAGTTAAATGGGGATTCTCAGACCTGTCCCTGTGTGATCCTCGTCTGAATGGTGGCACTTTGTCTCATCGGGTGTTTATCGTTTGGTGTGCTGTCCTGATGGGGTTGAACATCAGATAGTCACTGTCCTTTACTTTTTGTAATAACTTTTCGTTTATTTCAGTCTATTTCATAAATATCATTTAAAAATAATGGACAAAATACGTGTATACTGTTAGTTTAAAGTCAAACGAGTGAATAACATTTCGGCCAAGCGGGCTGACTATTCACTTCAAGTGGTTAGATACATTCAGACTGTGTGAATGATTTCAATGGATGCCCGACCACCTCTACCACCACCAAACGGACCAGTCCCGCCTGTGCGAAGACAAGCTTCCGTGGCTCTTTGCCATGAGCTAGAGAGACTTCCTTCTTCCCCTTCGGATTATTCGCCCCAGACAGGGAATGCTGATTCCCCACCGTCTACTCCCCCGGCTACTCCTGGCCTGAGACGACGGTTGACTAGACGTATACAGTACACTCCAGCCAAGTATAAGGTAAGAAACAGAATAAGGGTAATGGGATTATCTATACAGATGGCTCGGTGTTGAGGGGGAAGAGATGTGCCTGGGCGCTCGTAGCGAAGGCCAATGGTAATTCGTTAGTTCAAACAGCCTGGCATTTGACACTACAACATCTAGCATGAGAATGGAGGTGGAGGCAGTAACTGTAGCTCTCCAGTGGCTAGAGAACAAGATGCATACAAATCTCGTAATTGTAACAGACTCTGAGGGCATGCTGAGAAAGGTGAAGACATGGATGCTTCGAGCAAAGTGACAAGCTTCACTGGGAAGGTCACAGATAGTGAGCATACTTTGAATCTTTTCTCCAGGCTATGCCAGCGTGGTTGGTAATGAACAGGTAGACAGATAGGTTGGATATGCACCACTAGGTGATGAATTGATACACGACAAGGCAGATGTGTTCAAGACCCTTTGGGAACAAGCAACGGAATTAGTAGAGAAACAAGATTATTATGGCCTGGAGAGAATGAGGCACCTGGGTGTAACCAGAGGGTCTGGCTGACTCAATACACTCAGAGAAAAGGCAAGACAGACATAAAACCAGATTGTGAGTGGTACCATCAGTATTGGAACTTTGCGTTGGCTGCTGACGATGAGGACGGAGCATGCTCAATGGTAATGGCATGAAAAGATAGAAACCAAACCAAACGTAGAACCAGCCAGCTTCGCATTATCACATACATAGTAGATACATTTCCTGTGTGGGTTCCAGAGCCCCAGTGTGGCGGAAACAAGAATACACCCACTGCCTCCCCAACAAGCATGTCGTAAGAGTCGACTAATTGGGTGCATTCTTCGAAGTCGGAGTACATCTGCTTGAGAGGCTAGGAACCAACAATCTACATGCAAATGAGTTAGATATATAAAATGGATGTGCACAAAACATTAAGGTTTTGGAACAAGACTAAAGTCCAGAGATGGACGAACAACCAGAACTTATCGCCGTTATTGAAGCCGTTGAGCGCGAAGAAGAAAAAAATTGAAAAACGATAAGTGAACGCTACTGCCAGAGAGCCTTCATCAGCACATTACATGAGTATACAACACTACAAATGCGAACAAGAATGCACAAAATCACTTACCTGAAGTGTCTCCGAGAGAAATCACATATCTCTCTATACAGCTGAATTTCTGACATGTGTGTGACCACCGGAAATGAATATTAGTCAGAAAAAAAACTGTGAATGGCAACGGCCGTAACTACCCGACATGGGGTGGTAAATAGGCTGCATGCAGTCGTAGGACCTAGGCTGCACTCTCTCTCAGGACGTTGGTGGGTTTTGGTTAGGGCCAGTTCTTTATGTTTTGGGGTCGTTAAAAGCATAAGAAAGTCGAGAAACCCGGTCTTACCACCCTCTAAAAAATGTTGGACTGTCCTGTGACGTCGTCTTGGGGGGTAGTATATTAATAAATTACCTATAAGTTGTGACGAGCGAAAGCTTGGAATACAGTGTGACGTGCTGTAAAGGCTGCGTGGTGATGTGCGGCGTACCAAAGGTGAATATGGGCGTCGCAATGTAACAAATGGTATCAACAACTTTATATGCCACTGGCCAAGTGTAACACAACATGTTGAATGTTGAAGCTTCCAAACGTAGCGGAACGAAAACTCTCTTTAAAGGTTTCATTTGTGTATTGACAATAGCAATGATCAACACGAGGAGAAAATATGCAATTAATAATCCAGACTCATTCAAACACATCAACAAAAGCCCGCTCGTACATCCATGGACTGATATGATCTCACGACGGGTCGCAGTCCGACCTTGAGATCCAGACAGTCATCTCTGTCTTCTGTTCCGCAGTCTGAATAAGTTAATGTAAGTATACCAGCTTACTGCCGAATTGTGACAATATACCAGCTTTCTTCTGAAGTTTATATTGGAGTCCCGGGGTAAAACGTCCTCAAGGATCCAACTTTATACAACGTCTGCTTCCGTGGAATCCCGGGGTAAAGCGTCCTCAAGGATCCACACGTCCGTCTCCTTCGGACTGTAAACATCAACTGCTTTCCGTGGCATCCCGGGGTAAAACGTCCTCAAGGATCCACCGTGGCATCCCGGGGTAAAGCATCCTCAAGGATCCACACCAAGGCCGGACCCAAACGTCCGCCTTGGTCAAACTTCGACTTTCATCTCCTAGAATACAATCCCTTCACAACCTGACGTATTGTTTTTTGACGTCCTATTTACTCACTCAGTACTGGTGCGTTCTAGTGCACATCCGCACGCGACATAAGTCCAATGTAAGATAACAGGTAAGATGAAAAATGGGGGAGCAAGTATATCCGGCCTTCGTGGTGTTGACCGCATCACCTACCGAAAGGCGATTTGTGTTTATAAACATAAGTCTTAGTCTTAGTCGACGTTTGTTTGTTTGTTTTAGTATCCAGAAGCCATGAGTTGTTAACCCTTAGGCTCGGTATTATGGATATCGCAACCTTTCTGCCTTGATTCCACTGTAAATACGGTAAATCTGGGAGAAATGTGGCTTTTCTGCCTACCCCTGGGAGTGAACCCGGACCACAAGGAGTTCGTCACCCGGTCACCGCGCAATCCGGTTTAGCCAACTACGCTGGAGATCCGGGCTAGTCGAGGTTTATACATCCCTGCAATCGGGTTTCTCCATACTTGCTCCTTTCCTGTGCCAGGACAAATCTACTGAAATATTTCTCACTGTCGTGTTTGAAAAACTGATAAACAACAATTCATCATCATCATGTAGCAGGTCCTTTGCAGAACGTCGCTCTCATCACAGTCTGCCTGAAATAAACTCGGTCTCTCGCCAGTTCTCCCGATTCATGCACTTTCACACTCAAGGAGTCACTTATATCCTGTGCCCATCTCGTGTTGGTCGGCCCCTGCCCCTCCTTCCTGGTACCATGCCTTCTGCTTTAATTTTTTTCCAATCCGTCGTGGCGCTTGATATGATCAAAATATTTCAGCTTTCGAGAAAGGATGCTGTTCATTAGCCAATCTTCCTTGATGTTCAGATCTTCTAAGATGTCATTTCTCATGTTCTTTGTCCAAGATATTCTGAGAATCTTTCTATAGCATTTTAGCTAAAAAGCCCCTATTCTCTTTCTTAAGGACAGTGATAGTCCACGACTCACATCCGCATGTAGCCACAGGGAAGATGCATGCTCTAAAAATTCTAATTTGTATCTCCTTGCAGGTGCTTAACCATAGACTTTTAATGCTGTTCAATCTCTGCATTGCAATCGCCATCCTTTTAATTTAAACAACAATTAGACCTTGAAGAAAATCCAGAAATATGCGAAAGCAGCAAATGAACAAAATGAATAAGATCTGGGATGTCTTCTATTGTAAGATAGGAGCTGGCTGTCTCAATATTTGGTTTAAATATCCATATCATCACCATCATCATCAGTTTCCACTTCTGCCGTTAAGCGTTAAGCGTTAAGACAGAAGACAATCCCGATCAAATATAAATCTTGCATCATAGGAACGATGCACCAGTAACGTAGAGGCGCTTTACTGACTTGTCCTACAGAATTATGTTGGCTCCTGTATGTTATGACTGCAGCTGACATCTAAATGTGTTTACTTGTCTTTTCTTTCGTTGCCTGTTCAATTAATGCATTTTTACAGGTGGCTTCGTGGTCCCGTGGCATGGTGTCCGCCTCGAGGGCTAGAGGTTCCGGGTTCGATCCTCGGTAAGAGCTGGGATTTGTTCACGTGGACTTGGACTTCTAGTAATTCATCCTGGTCTCTGGGTAGTGAGAATGGACGCCCGTGTGCATTGTTGCGCACGTAAAAAATCCCTTTGCAGTTGGAAATAAAAAAGATTAGCCTAAAGGCGCTGCCCGGGCAAAATTTTGAGTTAAAAATCTACCCAAAGTATTTCAGGATCCTCACCGGTGCTACAGAGCCTGTGCACTGTGCTGAGCTTCTTCGGATTCAGACTTGCGTTAGAAGAAGAACGGAGCACTTTTGGGTCACACCCGTGTGCCTTGATGTTGATCCGTTGTTCAAAACCTTAAACTTAATGCATTGTTTATTGCGTTCAGTGTACTGTGACACTCTACATTCTGACCACACCCTGTATTGTATTTACTTCACACAACTGAAGGTCGCCTCTTTGGCGGGTTAAGTACAACTGACGGTCGTTTGCGAGTCAGTGCACTTGTATACCAAATTACACCGTTATCAATACATCCAAATATAAGTATGAGCTCCAGGAAACAGGTTATAAACAGCATATTCATACCAACACTGTGCTACCAGTGCCAGACTTGGACATTATCAAATGCTAACCTACGTAAAATTAACACCTGCTAAATGAAATACTAAAGAGAAAATTAGAAAAGCCATCAATCTTCTCAAGGAAGGAAAGGCGGCAGACCCTGATGGTATCCCAGCTGAAGCCATCAGGGACAACATAAACACATCAACAGAATTGCTACATAGATTATTCAGTAAAGTCTGGGAGACCGAAGAATTACCAGAAGACTGGAGAGAAGGATATCTTGTGAAACTGTCCAAAAAAGGTGATCTACAGGAGTGTGAAAACTATAGAGGAATTATGTTGCTGTCAGTTCCTGGAAAAATATTAAGTAGAATTATTTTGGAAAGATTTAAAGATGCTATTGATAAAAAGCTAAGAGATGAGGAGGCAGGTTTTCGGTCAAACATATCCTGTACTGACCAGATAGCCACATTACGTATTATAATAGAGCAAAGCATTGAACTGAACTCACCACTTTACATTGGATTTATAAACAATGAAAAAGCATTTGACAGCATTGATAGGGAATCTCTCTGGAAATTGACGGGACACTATGGAATCCCACAGAAAATTATCAACTTAGTAAAAACATGAAATGTCGAGTTCTTCATGAAGGAAAGCTAACAGATGCATTTGAAATAAAAACAGGTGTGCGACAGGAATGTCTTTTGTCGCCTCTCTTATTTTTACTGGCTATAGACTGGATTATGAAAACAGTAACTGCT